CTTTTATCATAATATGGCAATTCATTCACATTTAGCCGCTTCAGTCGTCTTAACAGAATTCTAGAGTTTTAAAAAAAGAAAAAAAAAATTGACGCTGTGCCGAAAATTATTTTTCCTCAATACTAAAGAATTGATAGAAAAAAAAAAACAGATGTTTTAAGAAACTACAGTTTAGCAATGCAGTATAGCCGTAGAGATGTTATAGTCTAAGTTGTAGTGATTTAGCCGATCAAAAAACAACATTAAAACAACTGTGAGGAATGAACTGAACGATATCTATTAACAGCAGTACTAACAGCAATATTGTACAAAATTCAAAGTATACTCTGTGTTTAAACGTCATCTATGCTCAAATTTTTTGCTCCTTTTTATTTATTTTTTTGTCAACTAAATGAGTCATGCGGAATTTACATAAATCAATCAAATTTTTACGTCTCTTAACTGCTGCTATTTTTTATTAATTTATTTTATTGACAGAGAACATTGTATTAAAGTTTACAAAAAAGTTTCTCAAAGAAAAACCTTTATCTGCTGAAGAAAAAACTATATTCTGTGAACACAGTTAGTAGCATAATTCTAAATTTTCTGCATAACAGATCAGTTATGTTCTGAGTTTTAAAGTCACTACAGTATAAATATTTCGAAATTATAATTTTTAAACAAAAAAATATAGAAATTGCTTAAGCTGACAACAGATAAAGCCAAAAAAAAAAAAAGTTGATTATAAAGTTTTTTCACTGTTAACCGACCTTTTCAGTTTTTTTAAGAAAAAAATTTTTTGCATATCTCTATTTGCTACCTTTTCATTTTCACTTATTTAACTAAAAAAAATTTTTTGCATTTTTACAACAAATCCATTTTTAAACGTATTATAATTAAATACCTTAATACTTTTACTTTGTTTCTTTGTTTCTTTTTTTTTTTACAACAATTTTTACTTGAATATTTGGTTTATAAAAATTTAAAGATTGCGCAAACACTGTGATAAATTTTGACAACTTTAGATATGTGAACAAAAAAAAAATTTGTAAACATTTTTGAACATTTGACAAAAGAAGAAAACTGCTTTCTTTTTTTGCAAAGGTTAACTGATAAAAGAGGGTAAAATGCTGTTGCTTGCTTAAAAAACCTTCCTCTTTTGCTGCAAAATCAACACTGATTTTTTCAGCTTTCTGTCTTCTAACATAGATTTTATTTTCAACAACACTGTACCTGAGCTTGTTCTACAACAACGTAAGAATATTCAAAATTGTCTTAAAAGAAGGTAAAAAGCAGAAAAAAAAAACAACACGTTTTTTCTTTATCTAAATGGCTAAAAAAAAAGAACATCTACATATTCATAAATTTTATTACAGTAGCTGTAATTTATACTTATTAAATATATACCATCTAAGAGCACCACTGGAAACAGAATAACATTGGTGACTTTCTCAATATATTTGCTTCTACTTTAGCTCTTCAACACACAGATCTTTGATGTTAAATAATGCTAAACAACTGAGACGTAAAAAAATAAAAGTCTATTAAAAATACGTTAAGTGTAAAATATTTATGGAAATAAATTGGCACAAAGAATAAACTGCATTAAAAAAAGAAGTTTTGAAATGCCAATAAATGCACATTTTTAAAGAAAGTTCTATACAGATGGTAGCTAAGAAAATTTTTATTAAAAAAAAAAAAAAA